ATATATATATACACACACACACACACACACACATATGTATGTATGTATGTATGTAAATCTTTATATAGATAGATAGATATAAGTAAATCTTATATAAGATTTACTTATATATAAATATAAGTAAATCTTTGCTGTCTGTATTCTCACTGTGAAAGGCCTGTTTAGTGTTGAGTCTGAAAGTCACTCACCTTTACATAAAGCACTGCCTCTGACACCTCTTCCTATCAGCAAGCTTGCCCCAAATAGTTGCAGCCAGCCACCTGGTGACGCTGTTAGAATATGGGCATCCTCCCACTCCATGCCTTTGACAGCATGGTCCTGGCAAGGTATCTTTGTCCAGACCGTCTGTCTTGGGACACCCATCCTGCAACGAAAGGATGGAAGGCATCAACACAGCTTACACAGACATGTGAGCAGCATCCAGACGGGGAGACCTTTTGGGCACTCTTCTCTATTTCATCACCAGCCTCATTAGCAATCTATTTTTCACCCACCTGAAAATTAGTCATTAGTATGCAAGCCTAGAAGCACGTAGGCTGAAATAAAGTAGAGCACCCATGAATATGGAGGAACAGATGCTTCAGGGAATTACCATGCGAATCTTCAGCATGCACAAAACCACCAAACTGTTGCTTGAGATGATTATGCCATTTTGTGGAAACAAAACCTGAAGTTAATAGGGCAGAATAGCAGTATTCAAATCCCTCAGAAACGCAGGCTATTGGGGATGACAATGGCTAGGAGCTTGAGCCTCTTTGCAATGTAAATACTTGCTGGGAGGGAGATGCAAAACGGGGTTCCAGGTCCCTTATTTTTCATTCAAAATCCGAGATAGGATCATGGCAGTCCAAGGGTAGCAATTAGCATTCCTTTAAACTGGAACCCAGGGGTAGGTGGAGTAATGTTTAATCTGAAATGTATGCCATGCCAGTGGCTGTTTGCACTAGCTATCATCTGGAAACTAGCTCTTGCCTAGGGCAGACTTTCTCACAGGATATTTCTTGGCAGTAAATTTAAATTAAAGCTGGTTTCCATCTCCCCATGCAGGGTTTCACCAAACAAACTCAAATGCCAGATGAGATTGAAATAACTCCTCCCCACTCTAGTGTACAGCTTTGTCTTCCACTAAGACAACTGGCAATGTCCCAGCCCTGCAATGAATACCCCTGTCCCAGCTGGGTGACTGCGCATTCAGTGCAAGACACAGTAGGGACCATCCCTGCTGCCACTGAGGGACCTGCCCAACAGATCTGATACAGTTTAGAGAGTATGGGTCTGTGGAAGATGAACAGGACTCTGCAGACCTACAATTTGCAATCCTGACCCTGCTGCAGCCAGTGATAAAACTCCCATTGACTTAAATAGGACCACGATTTCACCCATAGAAGTTAATAAATCTTCCTATAGAAGTCTTACTTGTCATTGTGCAATGGAAGTGTGTGCTGAGGAAGTCGCTTCTGTTAGGGGATTTTGAAATCCTAGAGGAAGGATATCATTTTCTGTTGGATCCTACGGGACTATGCAATCTTCTTTACAAAGCATGTCCTTCAGGCTCTCACTCCTGGCTCTCCTACCATAGGAGCTGTGCCTTGCAACCGCCGCTTTCACCATCGGATGGGGGGACTGGTATCAGGTGGTTCCTGGTCTGATGGGTTCAGGCCAGATTCCTGACACATGTTGTGGGATGATTGCAAACCGAGTCTTGGATTCACCCCTTGAACTCTAGCTAGATAGAACAAACATTCACAGAGTCCCACCCTGCTTAGGCATGCAAAAGATTTCAGGGAAATCTGATTTGATAACATGCTAAACACTTCTTTCCCATGGCTCACCTGCCACATCTTGCTCTTCCATGGTTTTCAGGAGACGGTTGGCTGATAAGTCCGGTGCCAAGGTATCCATCTTCCGGTGGCATCCAAGGCTGGCATCTCGTTAAGCGTGGGGTGTGTCAGCATTAATAATCTAATCCCATCTACAGACCAGTGCAATGCACTGATGGCAATCTGCCTAAATGCATACTGATATGGTTTTGAGCATCCTAATGACAGGACACCTCCATAATTGAAAATAATCTCTTTGCAGCCTGTCGGAAAACAAGTTGCCAGTGGTTTTCTGGGATGGCATGAGGAAAAGGGAGCTTGTGTGTGTGCTTGGCTTACCAGGAGAAAGCGGTATCCATTATGTGGCAGAGCAAGGCCGTGTGCTTCGCTGGATGAACCATGAGCCTTGGAAAGTCCATCGGATGCAGCCCCAGAGGTACGCCAAGAACATTTAGGCAGGACAGCTCGTGCTGTTCCTCTGTTTATGCCCCGTGCATCGGGCACCACAGGTGCTATGTTCAAGAAGGAACATCTTATCCATGCAGGAGTTACCACGGATGATCACTGTGTGGCAGCCAGAGCTGCCAGGGGTTGGTGGGACCATTGCCCCCTACTCCTGACTACCCTGTCAGCTACTCTCATGCACATAACTGCAACAACTTAGCATCCTCTGTTTGCCCATGCAGTGCCTACCACGCAGTTACATTTCCAGCCTGTCTCTGGGCAAAATGCTGGAAAAGGCCAATTCATCAAGACCACAACTAGGCCCAGGAAAGGGCTGGCTTCAAGGAATTTTTTTTTTTAATGTTTTGAAAAAGAAAAGAAAAAATTCTGAAACTCAATGAAGCACTTCAGCATCTCCTAAATGAAACAGCCTGTTTCTCCAGCTTGGAACAACTTTCCAGTTAGACGGTGAAGCCAATGACAGCAAAAAAAAAAAAAAGTAGCGGTCAAAGTAAAATAATTCTGAATTCATGCAGTGTTTCAATAGAGCCAACGAGGATGTTGTTGTTAGTGGAAATTGTGACTTGCCCTCCTGATTCAGGGCATCTTGAACAGTTTCACATGGTGGGAAAACCATTGCCTCCCCTATTCTAGGTGCTGCGCAGCGTAGTCCAACATCTCTGCTCCCACAGGAGAGCTTCTGGGGGCCTGGGGTTGCTTTTTGCTGTGTATGAGCTGAAAGCAGCTCCCGCCACCAAGGGGCTCAGGGGTTGCAGGACTCTACGGGGCTTCTGGACTCCTCTTGCTGTCTCAGCTTCTCTTCCTAAGGACCGGGGAAGGCAGGACCCTGAGCAAGGCCCTGCATGACCAGCCCTGGCCGGGAGGACAGGCTTTCTGGGCATAGGGGAGGACATTTTTCTGGAGCAAACAGGAAGGGGAGATCTGATGGAGGAGTGGAGGAAGACTTTGAATGCAGTGGGCCTTTGCTGGCCTTTCTGGACAGCAAGGCGTGGGCTGGAGGGAATTTAAGTGAGAGCTCCAAATCTGGCAGGTGCAGACAGGCAGGGGTGAGAGAGGGGCCCGGGGAATAGGAGTAAGATGAGTGGGTCACAGCGAGCAGGTGGAGGAAGCCCGGAAAAGAGCTGTGTGGGAAGGAACGAGAACTCGCAAATGGGAAAATATCAAACCGAATCACTATGGGGTCCATATTCCCTCCCTCCCCTCCCTCCGCGGCAACCCAGGAGCCCTAGTCAGCGTTCAGAAAGGGTGTGGGGTGGCTGAAGGGGGGGAAAGATTGCACCCATCTTTTCCACTCCCCTCTCCACCAACCTCTGTCACGCTCCCCTGCCTCAGCGTTGATAGTCGTTCAGGTCGAACCTACCAGATGGAGGAGGGATGGGAGGAGAAGGGAACCGGGGGAGTACAGCCCTGACACCTGCTGCTTCCCACAGATTTTTGGCACCCGCTATCACTCACTGCAGGGCTCTAAAACAAGCAGGAAAACAGCACGTCCAAGTCTTCAAATAGATTAATCTTGCATCTGTGTTTTCAGGATGAAGCCACAGGTCCCACCCCACGTGGGTGATTTTTTATTTTTGTTGAGTATTTTTTGGCAACCAGTAAAGCGCGCCTGAAAAACCAAAATGTTAAGGGTCACTTATCCACCAAGAGGCACGAAGGGACGGGACTCATGAAGCGATTACTTTTTGTTGGCCTTCTTCAGGCCAGTTCTCTGGGACCCAGGAATCCTTTGGCTCCCCGTGTCTTGCATTTCTGATCACCAGTGACAATAAAGTGAGCCGTATCCTCCTCGTAGTGAGGAATATGAAACCTGAGAGACAGCAGCAGCTGTGACATTGCCATCCTCCCGTTATTTTTTTTTAATACAGTACAATTAAACAATCAGTCCAGTAAGTAAATCTTGTGACTTGCCTCCACCCACTCACACTTACCAGATCTAACAAAGGATATAATAATGTTCATTGTACTATGACAAAAATAACATGGGGGGGGGGAGAAGCAATCTTTTCCTTTTGCTGAATCAGCGTAAGGCAGATTTTCGTAGATAAGGGCAAATCCTGTTACAGGACTCTTCAGATGTTGACAATGCCACTGCAGATCTCCAGAAAGGCTTGCATGTGCGTCTTTTCCTACCAGTTCTACTGGAAAATGTCCTAGCGTCGGGGTGGCAGATGAAGCACCTGTCTGTGCTGAAAAAAATGAGTGGTAGCAAAATGTTCGTGGTAATGTTTCCTCTAGGCAGGTAGTGGCTGCTTTGTCTGAGCCAACAAAACTCTAGATCCAGTGTGGACTCAGTATACGATGCTATGAATCACTTTGGGCATATGAGGCAATGTGGTCTGCTGGTTAGAGCATGGGCTGTTGAGTCACAGCTGGGGTTGCTAAGAAGGCGAGGTCAACAATGAGTGGGCTGGTAGTTGGAAATTAGATTCGACTCATAGAGGAGCTACTATATCATAGAAGAAGTGAATTTTAGAGGAGGGGAAAATATGTGGGTCAGTGGTTAGGACATTGGACCTGGGGGACCAGGCAGATGAGACAATAGCCACCTCCATCCCAAACACAAACACATGTCCCATCCCAAACAAACACAACGGTAAAGGGGTTTCACTGTTGTTTTTTGAAGGCTTCTGAGTCTGTGAAAAAGGGCCAGAGACACTAAGAGAAGAGAAGCAGGAGAGGGAAACCAAGGCAATAGTTATAAAACGCCCTGGCAAGTGTGAAGGGGCTTGGAGGTATGAGCAAAGATGCTTTCTTCCTCTTTGATCCCTGCTCTGTTCAAGGAAAGAGACTTTTGCCCATTCTTTAGAAACACGATTGCATCAGAGAAATGCCTGACTCTATAAGCAGTTGCTCCTAAACAAATGACCCTCAGACTCCTGTATTTGGCTAGCCACTGGAGTAAAAAAGGAATATCAATACTAAGAATGACTTGAATGAATGGAGAGTCGAGACCTAAATGTTCGGAGGTGACAGCTTGTTCAATCCAGAAGGGCACCGCAGATTAAGGCCCTTGCTGGGAGAAGAAGAAAATAAATACGGGTCAGGAGTGAGATCAAGATTCCTATATATAGGGGAAGGATTCTCATGCCTTCCTACTTCTGTGTATTTATGGTTGCCTAATGCTGACTATGGTACCCAGATCTATTTTGTACAAGTTTGCACACTTTGGGTGAGAAATACAGAATTCAAACTTGTTGCATAGATTCTAGTAAGCAGAAAGACTGGAGTAAATCAGAAGCACCTTATTCCAAAATGCTGCAAAAACTCTTGTAACGAGTACAAAGTGACTTGACATGCTTTTACTGCCAGCAGTTCCTAGTGACAGCATTTGTTTAGGCAAGCCTTTCCTATGTCTTATTTTGATGGGAGTGGGTTGAATGCTGTGCGTCAGATCAGTCATGCTGGTGTTCATTCATAGGAGTGTATGTAAAGCCCAGGACACAATGACTCGTGGCCATTCAGCACCCAGAAGTATTTTTCAGTGTGGTACAGGATGGGGCATTGCCTGAATCCCAGCTCCGCCATCTCACAATCCTCCTTTTTGTTCTTTGCCTCTTTGTTGCATTTACTGCTGCTGCTGTACTTGGCACACTACAGAGGTGGCTGTGTTTCTGCACTGTATGAGGTGATTCCAGAGTATGAGCAATATTTGGTAAGGTTTTAACTATCATGTCTCATTATTATTAGAAATGTTAGTTTTCATTAAAGGCAGATCAAGGCAAACATTTGCAAAGAATGAAAAAATAGGAGGGTAGATATATACAAATATATACTGTTTCCTTCTCCTCGGTAGTGACCATCTGCCTCTATTTAGTTCTTGCTCTTTTCCTCATTTAAATTAGAGCCCATTTGTTTGATTTTGAATAGCCACAAACCTCTGCTCAGCGGAGGGGAAAACATACAGGACTTAAACTCCATGAGATGGTGTTTGCTCAGCTTTTGCCAAACACGAAGATTTTCCAGGAGTTAGGGAATATCTTGCGGTGCTCAATATATAGAGTCCCTCCCCAAGTTTATTCATCTATTGCAAGCGATAATGAGAATTTAATCAATAACTGACTTCCAGTTGGCTATCACCAGATATCCTGGGCTAGCACTGATCTTTGTCCAGGCACATGACTGGTGTGCCTTAGAAGGACGTGAATTGAAGTGGATCAAAGTGGAATATTTAACTCAGGCTGCCTAACAATAGCACCAGCAATAATTTGGCTTGCAGTGAATAGCAAAGTGCAAGCATAGCTGAGAAGATATGCAAGTAGATCTACAGCAGACTGAGCCACTCCCTGCTTTTAAGAAGTTCTGATCTGTTTTTAGCTGTATTTCTTTCACTGGTTTGGGACTGCTTTCAGAAGCAAAGCCTATGTCCTAGCAAGCATGGGCTTAATTTTGGGTCAGCATTTCCCCCACCTTTATGGAAGAGATTACTATAAATGTGGCTACTTGGGAAACAGAAGGAGCAGAAGGAGAGTATCATAGGAGGGAGCCATAGCTTGTTCCCTTTCACGCCTACATAAACTTACCCTTTTGTGAGTTGCTGCATTAACTCTTGGGCAGAGGGTAGGGCAGCACCTTATAGGTCCAGGACAAAACCCCACATCTAAAGCGCCCCAAGCCCTAAGGTAGGGGTGTCACACATACAACCTGCAAGCCACATTTGGCCCATGGGGCTGTTCCGGACATTGAAAGGTGTGGCCCGCTGCAGAATTTGGGGTCCTTGGACCACATTGGACATGGCCATTGTTGGCAGCCCCCCAGACCCACGCAACTTCCCACACACAGCTCTGTGCCACCTCATGCCTCTGTGTGGGAAGGAAGGAGAACTTGCAAATGGGAAAAGATCATACCAAATCACTATGGGGCCCATATTCCCTCTGCTGCCTGAATCTGTCCCTGTTTGCCACCCAAAAGTGACTCTGCAGTGCCATCTGGCCTGGATCTATTGCAGTCATTGCTGGTCCAGCAGGTCCGGCCTGGGAGGAGCCCCTGGGATCCGGATCAAGGGTGAGTTTGACACCTCTATCCAGGGGAGTTTGTAACAACAGCTCGATATTGCCAGTTGAGGTATTTCCCCCCCATTTCATTCCAGTCAACTGGCCATCCTAGGAGGATGTCTGCACAGGCATTGGCAGGGACTCATAGGATGTAACAAAGAGTGGACCCAATAACATCGTCTGACAGGTTTTTTTAAACGGTATTGTCTTGTGCTGTTGCATGCCACCTACACGTGTGACTGCAAATGGATGCCTGCATGGCCTTCGTCCAGGTCTCATGTTTGTGTACAGTGCTAAATTAGGCTCTCTGGCTCAGTTCCCTTCCATTCGCGCGTTTTGCATGGTACACTGACTCCCTTTGTACTAGTCTTCTCCCCCGTCGCTGCACTCCAGGTAGTGATTCAGACTGTTTGCACTTGGCATTCTGGGCGGTGGGCTCGACTCAGCTCAGTGGACAGAGTCCTACACAGGGACTTTGACACTGACCTTGAGCAAATGACTTTATCTTGAGCCTCTCTTCTCCCTTCCTTGGCCTCATCTTTGAAATATGAGCATCCAGCTGCGAAGACTTTGTCTCTGTTTGTGCCATATCTAACATAACCAGGCCCTTATCTCGGGTGCGGCTTCTTGGCACTGCCATAATAAACATAACCACTCCCCACTAAAGGGAAGGTTTGACTGGATGGCCTCATAAACACTAGAGATGGAGAAGACGTTATATGACGGACCTTTCCCCACAACAACAAATACACCTATCCAAATACAGACGATTTGATTTCTTCATCTTCCCCTGAAAGCACCTGGCGTAAGAGTACTTGAGGGATTGGTTCTGTATGTTCCACTGATTCACCCTTTCTTAGCGACACAATGTTCCCCAAACTTGAGGAAGCCCATGTCAATGATTGGAGCAGGGGATGGTATTTCCTCCCCATCACACTTGAAATGGGGGAATAGCCTTCTTTGTTTTGCAAGTTTGGTGTATAAGCTGAGCCATAAAGGAAAGGCTTAAGAATAATTTGGGTGACTGGCTTAAGTGGCTCAGCTGGGGAGAGAGCCCACTAGCCTGTATCCTATAAATGAGCTTAAGTGTTCCTTACAACTACTGTAAATGAACTCTGCCCAGCCTGTAATACATATGATTAAAAGCAGTGGGCTGAGTCTTGCTCACCACGCTAGAATACCTTTACCTTCAAGGCAATCACTCAGGTGATTAAGATGTCCTCGCCAGGCGTTAGGGGTCAATACCCACTCTCTTTCCAAAGTCTTGATACACTTGCTTTTTTCTCCTCCGCTTCAGACCAAATAATTGCTGCTTCACTTGCTACCTTGAGATCATATGCGGTAAATCCGCATGATGATCCTGGAGATTATGGAGCATTAGCAGGGTATATTTGCGCTCCATTACCTTGTTTACACTGGGGGCACATGGCACATTTACAGTCGGCGAACACCAAGTCCACCTGAGCTGGGATTCACCGTGTGGGGGAAGCAGGACGGCACACCTTCTGGGAGCACTTGCCAGGCAGCTCTGACAGTCTCCCCACAGATAAGCACAGGAATGCACTTCAGGAATGTAAACAGTCCCAAAAGGTGCTGTGATCCCATTTTTTAGCAGACAGAAAGCTTTGCACATATAAAAGAAGGGGGGAAAAAGTGCATGCCTCTAAGTAGCAACAATACCCCTGCCAAAAAAACCCAGCAACTTCATACTGCTTTGGGGTGGAGTGGAGGGTCATTCACTGGTCAAGTAAGGAGGCTCTCATTCATAATATAGGATTAGAAGCTGACCTGGGTTTAATTACAGTGCATGAAAATAGTATCTACAGTGTATTCAAAGGGGTGAATTTGATTAAATAAATCTTTCAAGAACTGAGAACAATCTGATCTCAATCAAAAATAAAGGAGTAGGCATTTGCTGGAGTTCTGGGTCATCTTAATCTGCCTGCCCCGCACCAATTCCTGTTATTTGTATGCAGTACACCGCCTCTCCATGAAAGCTCTGAAAGGTCCCCATCATTTCCTATCTCACACACTGCCCTTGCCTCCTTTCGGGTGACTGCAGTCTTACCAACTTCCTTACATGCAGTCAAAACAGAGCTGCAAAGACAGTGGCATAGCATGACGTGCCCCTTGTTTTAAGGGGCTAGATCCAAGAAAGGACTTAAGATGGCTTTAGGTGCCTAAGTATAAAACTGCCATCTCCATCCCCACTAAACTAACTCAGCCTCTGCTGTCTGGACGT